TAGGGGTTTAGGGTTCTGGGGTTCAGTGTCTGAGGACCCAGGAAAACCTGTGATCCTTGGTACAATGGTGGGAAGTGTGGCAGCAAGCTTATACCAAGAAACATGCTGGACTGCCGGGGGCGTCCAGGCCAGATGTCTACAAGGGTAGGCCACGGCGTCCACACTTCTGTTCTGCCCTAAACCCTAAACCCTAAACCGTTGAGGGCAGCGTGCTTTGAAAATGCAGCCAGGCGGCCATCTTTGCGGCGGCAATGCCCGCAGGAACGGAGGGGGAACACGAGCCAAAGCTTCCAAGGGCAGGAAGATGGCATGCTAGCCTGTATCCAACCTCTGCCTCCTGGAAACGCACCTCATCCCCTGGTTAAGACTCCCAGAGACTAGGGTTTAGGGTTTAGGGTTTGGGGTTTAGGGAATAGGGATCTCTGTTTGACCCAGAGACTCCAATATTCCTTAATTAAGGAATAGACCTTAAATTGTAGTAGGATCCCTAATATGATTTAAGGTATATTCCTTAATTAAGGGGTATTGGAGTCTCTGGGTAGCCTGTATCCAACCAAAAAATAGCGAGATAGTGGCAATCCGACGACACCGAAATCTCAGTATCGAGTAATACTTCACCGTAATAATTATGACAACAGTACTCCGTGCCCTAACACTTTGTAGCAATAAAAGCCAACGCAGTAGTCTTCACAGTCATCACAACCTCAAGCAGCGGGACCAGCACAAGCGGAAGCATGAGCATCAGCATCCGACCAGACGCTGCTGCTGCTCCAGCGGCAACAGCAACAAAGACACCGACACCAACAAGAACCACAGCAACAACAGCAACGGCAACGACAACAGCAGCAGCATCTGCAGCGGGAGTAGCAGAAACAGCAACGACAACAGCGACAGCAACAGCGCCTGCAGCAGCAGTAACAGAAACAGCAACGGAAACAGACACAGCGACGGCAACAAAACAAGCCACCACCACCTGCCACCACCACCCTAAACCCCGAAACCTAAAACCTAAACCCCCTAGACCCCTAAACCCCCTAAATCCTCTAAACCCCCTAAATCCTCTTAAATCCCCTAAATCCCCTAAATCCCCTAAAACGACAACGACAAGAGACGATCACAACCGGTCCGAAACTTCGCTCGACGGATTCTCGGAAGTCCACGGAACTGGCTGCAGCCTTCCAGAGCGAAGCTAAAACTATCCCATCAGAAGCCCTAAACAGACTAAGGAAAATATGTTTCCCCGATATATTTCGTGCTCCCATCAGAAGCCTCGATTCTGATAACACCCTGCAAGAAAAAGACACCGTCGAACACGCGTTGACTTAGGTTTAGAGTTGAGGGTTTAGGGTTCATCTGCACACGAGATGCGACAACTCTAACAGAACCCAGCGCCAGTGCGACCAGATCAACCAGCCGTCGCCTGCGTCATGAAGCGGTCCTGGCACCCAGAGACTCCAATATCCCTTAATTAAGGAATATGCCTTAAATTATAATAGAATCCCTAATATGGTTTAAGGTATAATCCTTAATTAAGCGATGTTGGAGTCTCTGGGTGGAGGGTAGAAGGAGGAGGCGCCCCATTTTGGTCTTCTCAGAAGTCCATGCACGGTCACAAAGCTACGCTTTGCGGAGCCGGCGGAACGTAGGGGCTCCCTAAGGGTATCATAGAGTTTGATGATGGGATTTATAGATAATCAGATTTGCAGGGGATTAACAGGCTCTACCATTGCTTACACAAAGTTCGACGAAGCCCCTGGCAAAACAACCCTAGTTCTAGAGAATACAGAAACACGCGAACATGCCAAAGTGGCAGAATCGATTTCTTGACACTGCCACGACGGGCCAAACTTCTCTTAAGGTCCGGCCTAACATGTATGCATGTATATATATATATAATATAAATAGATGTGTGTGTGTGTGTGTGTGGGTGGCAGTTTCTGTTGTGTTGCAGGCTTAGAGCGTAAAGCTTAGTACGTCAAGATCCGAACCCTGAATAGCTTAAACCCTAGACTAGGCTCTAGACCTGTGAACGAAAGCTAGATCGTAATATACAGGTAAGGGTTTTGGGGTTTAGGATTTGGGGAGCTAGTCTGTAGCCTTAAAAATTAAAACTGACTTCCTTTAACTTACTTAACAAGGGTTTGGGGTTTAGGGATCTAGTCTACAGTCTTGAAAATTAGAACGCACTTCCTTCAAGGGTTCCTGAGAGGGGACTAGGGGACTGTCGTATCAAGGCTACTATACGGGCTGAATGTAGCGGCCTGGGCAATTAGAATAGGGCCTTGGGTGCATTATCGCATGTATGTTTCAGAAGGGAACACCCAGGAATCATGTTCGTAATTATCTCTAAGCTTCTACCTTACACAGGTCGTCACGATGATGGTTCTCACGGGTGCTATACGGTTTTTGGGGGGATCCAAGAAGCTCGCGCTAAAGGCTTTAGACGGTGCTTGGTAAGAGTGTGACAGGGTGCTCTTTGTAAGGTTTCTTATCAAGGTACAGCCCTGTAATACAGAAGCCTGGATAATCAGAACTAATACTCCTCATGGGTCCAGTAACAACCCTAAACCCTAAACCCTAAACCTAAACCCTAAACCCTAAAAGCCCTAAGCCCAGTAAAACGCACCCCCACTGCCCTATTCCACTTCTTGAGGGGCTCTTGAGATTTCCGTCCGGGCTTAGGGTTGAAGGGTTTTGGCGTGGTAGGGACTAGATCCTAAAAAAGAGAAGCCTAAACTAAACTGAACCCTAAACCCCTAAGCCCCTAAACCCTGGATTCCCTAGATCCCTAAACTAAGTATGAAATTCTAAACAGGCTCTAAACCTGAAACCCTAAACGCCCCAAAAGGTGCCCTAAACCCCAAAATACCCTGAACCCTTGGTCCCAACAAAGAGAACCCTTGGCCCCTTGCCAGCTCTCCCTCCAGGGCTTTGATCTTGGTATCCTCGTTCGATGGCAGAGAGGAAAAGTGCTAGAAGGGATGGGTTTGAGGGTGTAGTTTTGGGGTTTAGAGGTTTCGGGTTTAGGGTTTAGGGATTAGGGAGGGATGGGTTTTAGGGTGTAGTTTTGGGGTTTAGGGTGTAGGGATTAGGGTTTCGAGTTTAGGGTTTAGGGATTGCTGCGTCAGGGCTCGATGATGGGGCTTCCTGTTGCGGGTGCGCGGTGAGGGCTCTGTGAAAGGGGTGGTTGCGGTTGCGGGGGAGGCTACAGCATAGTTGTATGGGGACTGCTAGCGGGCATGTGGACATGTATTGTGCCCAAAGAACCCCATACCACTTAGGCAAGGAATATATCAGTATATCTTCAAACAGAGATCGCTTTCTACGGCTTACACCCAAAACCCTGAACCCTTACAATAATCTAAGCTAGATTCTTGAATCGCCGGCAATCGCTGCAAACGGGGCCGGTGGGTGTGTAGGACTTAGAGTAGGGTTTAGGGTTTAGGGTATAAATCGGGTTCATAAGACTCACAAGCACTCCGGCATAAAAGGAAGCTTCCATAGGCCGTGAGCTTAGGATGCTAGGGTCCCCATAAGGCCTTCGTGCTTGGAACCGATTCCGGGCATTAGGGTTTTAAGGTTTAGGGCCCAGGGCTTCAGGGTCTAGCGCTTTTTTGGGTCTTAGGTGTGTAGTTCTAGCGCTTAAGGTCTTCTACTATGATAAGCGAAAAATGCGGGAGTCTGAACCGTTAGAAGCGTTGCGGGGCGTCGTCCTCGCTACCTGCATGCAGCGACAGTATGGCTTAGATAAGCCCCTTTTGCAGTAGCAGTTACCACGACGGACCGGCGTGTGGCCGCTTCCTTACCACAAGAGACTGCTAGTTTACAGGGGGACTAGCCCAACTTAGTCCCAACCTGGTTAGCAAGCAGTGTTGGTATCTAAGGTTAGAAGTACCCCTTTTCTGGACCCGAGGCCGTAGGCCGTTTAGGTGGATTCTCGGGGCCCACCATACGGGGCCCATATCATGGCTTCAACCTTTCATTGTATACGGAACGAAGCGGCAAATCGTTTGGCCTTTGGCCTCCCTCAGGGCAAAAGGCGCCTCAACTCCTTTGGGTGGTTCTCTCACTTAGGGTCCCCTTTTCGGTCTGGGGTTTACAGGGTTTAGGGTTTAGGGTACCCTAAACCCTAAACCCTAAACCCTAAACCCTAAACCCTAAACCCGACACCCTTATGAAGACCCTAGCTTAGAGAGCTACCTGTTTGGAGATTCCCAGATGTCCAACCTCCCGTCTCCCGAATGCCGAGTAGCCGAGCTTGGACGCGACCATGATGTTGACAAAAAATTATAGTGAATGGTTTAGGTTTAGGGTTTAGGGTTTAGGGTTTAGGGTTTAGGGTTTAGGGTTTAGGGTTTAGGGTTTAGGGTTTAGGGTTTAGGGTGGTGTGAGGTCATATTGCTACTGTAGCTTACGTTAAGTTCCCTAACAAGAACTTGCAGAACCACGGCAGAACCAGTCAAAGGCTTTTGCGAAAACCCGACACAAGACCCACCCACTGCAGTAAAACAATGGCTTCAACCCTAAACCTTGAGCCCTGAACCTTGAACCCTTAACCCGCACTCCCTTCGAAAGGAGCTCAAAACCCTGTCCCTCATGGGAACTTACAGAGTCTCTCAGCCTCAGCTCTAAAGCCGTACGTTTAGGGTTTAGGGTTAGGTACCTTCCCAAAAGCCCTGTCCACGAACCCTGTAACACAAGGGGCCCCAAGATAGCCTTAAAACTTGAATAAGTAGCCCCTTAGTGCAAGGGCCAAAGCGCCTCGCGTGTCTTGGCTTCTTCCTGCTCTGCCTCCCGCGCGGCTCGGCTTGGGCGGAAGCTGGGGGTTAGGATTTCGGGTTTCAGGGTTTTGGGTTTAGGGTGTCTGGTTTTGGAGTGAGGTTTTAGATAAATAAGCACA